GGGTGGGGGGTGGGCTTGGATAAGAGTGTTTTGAAAATGCTCATCAGGTGATTCTAACTCAATCCCCTGTGAACAACTGCACTATAAAATAGATTCCTTGAGATCAGGAACCACTATGGTCAACACAACATAGATGCTCAATATATAGTTTCTAATCTGAACCCAAGTAGACAAGTCTCAAAGTTGAGGAACGAAAGGTTAGGGCTGGAGATGTGGAGGCATCAGGATATATAAGGATAGCGCGTGAAGTTGCATAAGTAGAAAAACTTACTCAAGAGAGTTTGGAGTGAGGAGTAAGGAAACCAAGGCGGACTTTTTTGTTACTCTGTAACTGCAGAGGGCTGGTTTACATGTGTTTTTTCTTCCAGACTATGAGTTCCTTAAGAACAGGAACTCTATCCTACTCATCTCTGCTCACCTGGCACTGGGGATAGTACAGTGCAAGGTACACGTTAGGAGCTCAGGAACATTTTACTGAGTGGTACCAGTGCCACTGATAATAGGAGGTACAGTACTTCAAGGACACAAAGAAGTGACTACTTTGACCTAGGAGAGCTGGAAATTGAAGTTTTCAGAGGGACAACTGTGCTCAGTCCTGAAAGAGTTCACTTAGCAGAGAAGTGGCTAGAGCTCAAGTAGAAGGAACAGCAGGAACATAGGTACCAAGGTATGAAAGAGCACAATGCAGATACATCCTTTCCACATGGCTGGGAGTCAAGTGCATGAGATAGGAACATAGTAGGGAGCTTTAGAAAATGGAGACGAGAGGGTCAGGGCCAGACTGAAAAGCCATGGACCTAAGGATTTAAGCCAGACTGTGGGCGGCCTAAGAGGAGTTTTAAGTTTAATCTGAAATGGCCACGTTGACTTTTTATGAAGGTAACTAGTGGCAGCATGAAGGGCAGAGTAAAAAATTGAAAGACTCAAAGGAAGGAGCTTAATTAGTGGCCGCCAGTCCAGTTAACAAACACGAAGAGGCTGTGTTCTCCTTAAGTTTGATAACCCAAGAAAAAGCAGGGAAGGGAATACAAAATCCATTCTATAAAAGCCCAAGATTTAAGTCAAGCGACTTGTGAATTCCACTCCCGCTGGCCACCAAGCGGCACACCTGTATTTCTGGGGTCTGAACTGCATGGGGCGTTCCGAAGCGGACATGTCCAGGAACCTCCTGTTCTACCTTCGGGGTTCCAAGCCCCTTCCTATGACAGCCCCACCCCCCATGAGGACCAAGCTGTACAGAGTGGCGCGGGGAGAACGAACAAGCGCCCCGCCGGGCCAGTGGGGAACGCTAGGGCACCCACCGGGAACGCAAGGTGGGAACTGCGCGTGCGCACCTAGAGTGCGCCCCGCCCTCTGCCTTTAAATCTGGTGGCGGGAAAGGACACTCAGCGTCTCCCAAGAGTGCCCTGTAGCTTCGCAGGCACGCAGTTCCCTTAAAGCCCTCTAACCCACACATGCACTCACCCGCGCCCCGCCGGTCTTCAGGACCCCGGGAGGCCGGCGGCCCTCGGGTGCGCCGCGCGGTCTTTCCCGCCACCAGCTGGCAGGGACCAATCTCCGCCCGCGCGCGGCTGGGGCTGGGCGAGCCGGGCTGGTCCATGTAACCCGAGCAGGCAGGGGGCTCGTGACAAGGTAAGGAAAAGGGAGACGAGTACAAGTAGACTGTTTTATCTGAGTCGATCCCCTATGTTGAGCCTATAATTACAACGCAATCAATTTTCTGCTGACTTAAGAAAATAGGAATCAGAGTCAGATTAGATGTAAATTTACAAATATTCTTCCCCTTCTCCTAGTCAAGTGGATTATTCCAAGTCTTAAATGGTTAGTTGGGAAAGTTAGGCTTTATTTGGGAGGAAGTGCGGATTCAGTTCCTGGTAAGAGTGGTCTTTTGCGGGGCGGGGGTGTCTGTCGTACTGGAGGTATAGGTTTAAAGCTTGCGAAGCGTGCAGGAGGCTCCTGAAAGGAAGATATCAACAATAAATATTCGTTGGTCAGTTGAGGGTCTCCTCTGGCCTCAGCTGAGATGAGTGTATTTTGCCAACAACAAAAGAAGATAGAGCTCAAACGACTAATTATCTCCTGAATTATTAAGCATTTGAATCAATTTCTGGGATATGAGAAAAGTTAGAAGAGGTTTGATGAAAATGAAAGGTCAGTTGAGAGAAAAGTGAAAAGACACATACAAAAAGGGAAATAAAAGACTATAAAACTAGTGATAAAAGCAGAAAGATGCCATTTGAAGAGTGTTTTGATCTGCTCTAACTAAATTAAAACTCTGAGGGCGCCCTTGGGGAGAAAAAAAAAATTGAAGGTTAAAGCCTCTCCCTCCTACACCCCACCCCTACCCCGGCTTTGCTCCAGGCATCAGATTTCCTGTTTTTCCCTGGGAGCTCTTCTGGGGCTTAAGTACCAATTGCCCGGAGGCCCTGCTGGGGATGTCAAGCAGAACACTTAAGCTACTTAATTATCTAGATTCTGGGCTCACTGTCCCCTTAGTTGGTGAGCTCCCTGGTTCAGGGCTCCAAAGAGATCCATCTTGCCAGAATGAGCAGAAAGCCCAGCCAGTGAATGTAGACAGATTTATGTGGCTTTACCGAACAGCTCAAACCCCAGCATTCCCTTATCTCAGAGCTACTTCCCCACCCAAGCCCCTGGGGCAATCATCCCTGAGATAAGTAGGCTACACTCTCCCATTAACTTCCCAACTTTTTGGTACAACTGCAGCCTGAACTGGGCCTAATACCTCCATTTCCTCTCTTCCTGCCCCAGCCCCTTCTCCCAACCCTTGGAATGCCTTGTGTCCTCAACTTCTCTCCATCTGCCTCCTGTGAGTACTCCCTACTTCCCTGCTTCCTCAGGAACCTAGAACCATACAGTTGTTTGGCATGAGTGTAAAGACCGGAAACTTAACGTCTTGGTTTCCTGCACTCATCACACCGGGTTGGGAGAGGAAGGTATAGGATGATACCTCTTTTCCCTTCCCTACTTCTGCTATGCCCCAAAACTGAGACACAGCCACGTTCACTCACATTCATACACACAATCATGCACACACAACAGTGAGGAGAGGTGGGATGGGGAGGAAGGGAAGTTTGCGCCAACCAGCTCATGAATGCAACTTGAAAGATTTCACACAGCAAAAGGCAAAAAAACCCCCAACTCACACATAAATTAAAAAATAAAGAAGTATATGCCCCTCCCCACAGTCCCTTTCTTCATCCAGGGGCTGACTTAGCCCCTCCACATAAACCCAAAAGCCTCCTACTCTCTCAGTACAACTGGAGCTTTTACAGGGCCTGGGTCTTTAATTCGACAGGTTCTCCTGTGCCCTCTGGTTGTCCATTGAAGTCACTGGGCCTGGTACCCTTGAGAATAGACAGTCTCTCAGAAACACTCTTGAGCCTGGGGAAGAGGAGAACGTCGTAGAGGAGACTGCCCAGGCCCCCTCCAATGATTGGGCCCACCCAGTACACCTGTAGGAAGAGGAAAGGAATAATCAGGCGTGGAGGGAGGACCAAGAGAAAGGCTGTTCTTTTCTCAACTCCAGAGGCAGAAAACAGATGTACTTGGGTACTACTTAAACAGAAATCAGCCCGGCCGGGCGTGGCTCAGCGGTTGGGCATCGACCTAGTATCCAGGCGATCGAGGTTTGATTCCTGGTCAGGGCACGTGCCTGGGTGGCGGGCTCGATCCCCAGCAGGGGGCAGTGGATCAATGACTCTCATCGTTTTTTTTTCTCTCTCTCCCCCCTCTCCCTTCCTCTCTCTGAAATCAATAAAGATATATTTTTTTAAAAAGAAAGAAATCAGTTTGTGTGTGTGTGTGTGTGTGTGTGTGTGTGTGTGTTTTAAAACTCTAAACTGTTCCACTGTCTGCACCTCAAAATTCACCATTTCTTTTCTGACTCATCAAATTATTCCTTTATCCCATTTCTTCTTAACACAGGTATATTCTATCTGTTGTTATTAGTTGGTACTAGTTTACATATTACTTTGAAAAAAATTTTTTAATTGTGACAAAATACACATAAAATTTATCATCTTAAACGTTTCTTTTTAAAATTTGATTTCAGAGAGAGAGGGAGAGAGATAAATTTGTTGTCCCACTAATTTATGCATTCATTGGTTGCTTCTTATATGTGCCCTGATTGGGAATCAAACCTACAACCTTGGCATATGGGGATGACACTCTAACCTAATGAGCTACCTGGCCAGGGCTCTTAACCATTTCTAAGTTCTATAGTGTTAAGTATATTCATGTTGTTGTGCAAGTAATCTCCAGGACTTTTTCATCTTGCAAAACTGAAACTCTACACCCATTAAACAACAACTCCCCGTTTCCCCTCTCCCTAGCCCGTCAACTACCATTTTGCTTTGTTTCAATGAATTTGACTATTCTAGATACCACATATAGTTGGACTTAAACAGTATTTGTCTTTTTGTGACTGGCTTGTTTCATAAGCATAATGTCCTCAAGGTTTATCCATGTCGTAGCATATGACAGGATTTCCTTCTTTTTTAAGGCTGAATACTATTCCATTATCTGTATATACTAAATTTTGTTTACTCATTCATCTGTAGGGGACATTTGGGTTGCTTCCACCTTCTGGCTATTGTGAATAATGTGGCCATGAAAATGGGTGTACAGCTTTGAAAAAACACCTTTTTTAAAGTTTAAAGCGAAAGAGTTTATTAGTAAAGCAGTGAGACAGAGAGTGGGCTACTCCACAGGCGGAGCAACCTGAAAATATTTTAAAATTATTTTCATATATTTTGTCTGGCATATGGCCAAACAACACAAACAAACCAATTTTTATTGAGGACTTATTCCATACCAGATTCTGTGCTAAATATTTCTCACATATAACTTTAACACTTACTTTTCATTACACCTCATTTTATAGTAAGGAAATGGAGGTGCAGAATGACTGAGTTCTTGCCATGGTCACACAGTTGGCACAGTGCTAAAACTGGGATGAGGCCCAGGCCCACTGTGCCCATACACATCCTGACAGCTGAGAGTAGGAGTTTTTGTCTTCCTATTCAGTTGTCTGTCCTGACAGTGCTAGTTTTAGAATCTAGTGGATACTTAGTAAAATTCCCTGACTAACCAGCAAAGGACCTATGAACAAAATTCTCTCTTTCTGGCAAAATAATGAATCCTGCCCACACAAGCATCCCAAACTCTGCGACAGCACGCTTAGCTGAGTGCTGGTAGAGCAGTCAGCACATCCAGATGGAAAGCAGGGACCAAACCTGGAACCTGCAGTCCAAACCTGGAACCTGCAATGCACACCCATCCGGGAGGCCTTCAACATCTTGCTCCTCTCCCCTCACTCACCCAGTGGTTGGTGAAGTTTCTGGTGAGAATGGCAGGAGCAAAGGAGCGGGCAGGGTTCATGCCTGCACCAGTATAATACATCTGCAAGAGACACAGTTGTAACTGAGACACTTCCCCCCCTCCCCTCAGCTTCTCTTCCCCACAGCCCACATGTCCCTGAGGGCTGGCACCTTGCCTCCAGCCAGCAGCAAGTAGAGAAGGAAAATCCCATGGGAGTCTCACAGTGGAGTGAAGGCACTGATGCCTCATCTGGGCATAGACTATGGATCCATAGTCTAAGCCCACATTTACCCATGATGCATGTATTTCCACCCTGGGTTCAAGAAGGACCAGTTAAGGTGATCACAAGAGGGAGTAATAGGAAGGGTTGATTCCTCTGTGCTGACTGATATAGAGGGAGGTGAGTAATGTTCATGGTTGATAGTCAGGTGGGAAAGGTTTGGGGGCCCTGGAATCCTTAAAAGAGTAGTTGCTCCCCTCTCCTACTTACCCCAAAGAGGTGCCCCAGGGTGAGGGAGAAACCAACAGCCAGGGCCACAGAGCCCAGGCGACCATTCCGTCTCTCGTCATATGTGGCAAAGATGCAGAGCACGAACTGCAGCGTCAGGAAGATCTCCACCGTGGTGGCCTGGCTTACACTCACCCCTGGGTGCAACTAGGCAAAGAAAGAAGGGAGGAGGCTTATTAGGACTGTCACAGTGTTACCTCCTCAAGATTTCCCAGGTAGGCACCCCTCCCTCCTTATGGCATCAGTGTCCTGGAGATGAAGGATAATACAACTCTTTCCATAGTAACTGTATTTGTTTCTTAATTTCTCCTAATGTAGAAAATAATTGCACCCAGTTTTGTGATGCAGAAACTGAGGTCCCATAGGTAAAATAAGTTTCCTCAAGGACCTGCAAGGAATTGGAAGGAAAGCTGGGACCAGAACTCAGGTTTCTTGATTCTTAGTCCAGAGCTCTATGCCTTCCTTATCCCCCCAAAGCACCTGCCAATCCTCTCCACCCTGGAACACACACACACACACACACACACACACACACACACACACACACACAATGTTCCAGACCCTGAGGGTACTGATTCACCTGCACCAGGCAGGGAGGCAGGGCACCAGGTTCCCTCAGCCCCATTCAGTTGATCATTACCGTGTTAAGTGCTAGGTTTCCTCGGACGGCAGGTGGGGTAACACTATATAGCACGGCGGCCCCAGCCATGGCTCCTAGGAGTTGGGCTGCCATATAGCAGAAGGCACGGAGCAGAGACATCTGGGAGCCCACAAGAAAAGCAAAAGTGACTGCAGGATTGACATGGGCTCCACTGATGTGGCCCACAGCCTGCACCAGTGTAGCCAGGGCCAGACCAAAGGCCAGAGCCACCTGCAAGACATGCAGGGGTCCAGGGGCCCAACGCAGTGAGGCCCCCAGCCCAAAGAGGACATAGAAGAGGGTGGCAAAGAACTCAGCAAATATGGCCCTCCAGAAGGAGGCTGACCGCAGTTCCCACATGGCAGGGGGGATGGGCACAATGCCTGGGTCCCTGATACCCCCCTGGCTTGATCTGGGTGAACAGTCCCCTTTATAGAGGACTCTTAATCCCTGGGAGGGGCAGGGTGAGGTGGCTGGCCCAGCCTCTTAACCCCTACACAGCTGCAGAGGGCTGGGCCCATCCTCATGCATCTAATAAAGCTGCTGGATTTCCCCTTCCTCCTCAACTGGGAGATGAGCAGAGCCATGGGTGTAGAGGTGGGGGTAGGGTCAGGACTAGAGAGGCTCTGAAAGGAAGGGACCAGGAACAGAGGGACTGGAAGAGTCCCTTTCTTTTCATGTCAAAGTTGGGGCTCATAGTCCTGATTGACATCTATATTAGAACATTACTCAACTCTTCCTGGAAGGTCAGGCAAGCTGAGTTCACTTCATGGAGTATGAGACTGTGCTCCTGGGGGCCTCCAGGCTCCTCTGAGTCAGCCAGGAGTAAGGGTAGGTGTGGGGGTCAGGAGTGGGGTGCAGCAGGGATGTTGGATAACTGAAGAGAATTCTTTAGTCCTCTGGGATTAGAGGGCCTTTTTCCATTGGCTGGTTTGGGCTGGAATCTGTGGACCCTGCAGCTCTGGGACAAGAATAGTTCTGCTGTGTCTGGCTTTCTCTGACCTGGGTTCCCTATCCCCAACCCATGTCAGCACCTCCCTTTCCCAACCCTCAGCCTGGCCTTTTAAGCCACAGAGTCATATGGTGGAAAAAGCTGTCTTCTACAGATAGGTTGGAAGTGGGGTTGGAGGGGGCTGGGCAGGGAAAAAGAGTTAAATCTCAGAATCAACTTGCATTTCACCTTCCCTAACTCACAAGGTCCTAGCAGCAGGTACTGAAAGAAAGGAAACTGAGTGATGGCTATGAAGCAATGGGAGAGTTTAATGCCTCCTAATATGACTGTGATCAGGATACTGGAGTCCTAAACCGTATTCCTTTGGGAGAGGTAGGGGTAAGCGTGTCTGGGGAAACAGGCTGGTCAAAAGACAGAGAACGATAAGATGGGAAAGGAAAGCTTGAAGAAAGAGGTTCAGTTGTGCTCAGGCTTGGTGAGGGACTTGGAACTTAGAAGTGGGGGCTGTGTAGTGGTGGAGAAGGTAAATGGGCTCCACTATATCCACATTGTGGCAAGTCTTAAAGGCCACAAGCTTTTCTCATGAAGCACCAGAGGAAAACAAAAATGTGAAGGATAGGCCTGTAATACTGGTGCCCAGCATCGGTCCCATCCAGTACACCTGTGGGGAGAGCGGAGGAACACAGATCAGGGCCTTTGCCCCTCTCCTCCTCCAATATCCAGCTTGGGGATGGACAGGAAGAGGTCCAGCAAGGGCCGAAGGCCCATCTAACTCATTCACATGCAGGAAGTTGCTGAGAACAGGTCAAAGGGCACCTAAGGGGACTGGAGCTTCCAATTTCATGGAACAAGAACAACTTGTCAGAGGTCCTTGGAGTCTCTTGTGTTTTACAAGCCCCACTAACCTGACTTCCGGCCCTGTAACCCTGGCTTCATCTCACCCATTGGTGCTCCCAGATGCCAGTCATCACTGCTGGACACAGGGAGTGCCCAGGGCTCATGCTGCTTCTAAAAAAGTACCCCTGGGTAGGAGTAGAGTAGTAAATCATGGTGTTAAGACCAGAGTCTTTAGCAACAGATACTTTGCTTCAGATATGGGTGAGGATACAAAGGGACAGAACTAGTTCTGATGGTTGGTCGGAGTGTAAACTGGGATAATCATTTGGAACACAGTATAGCACTCTCTTGTAAAGATGAACAAATACATGCTTTCTCACCCAGGAATTTCACTGCTTACTTACACACCCAAGAGAAACTTTTCTATACCTCTGTCAGGAGACATACACAGGGATGTTTAGAGCAGCACTGTTCACAATAGCAAAACACTTGAAGCGACCCAAATGCCCATTGGCAGGAGAATAGATGAATAAACAGTGGTACATTCACACAATGGAAAATTATTGAACAGTCAAAATGAGTGAAACCCCACAGTGACACTCAATAATAGGGATGAATCTTGCAATAAAAAAATCAACAAAAAAAAATAGTTCCAGAAGACTATACATAGCATGATAACCTTTTTGTAAAGTTAAAAAAACACATCTAAAATGAAAATATGCTTTTCAGAATACTATAGATGAGATGAAACTACACAAAAGAGAGAACGAAAACTGATGAACACAGGATTCAGGATGGTGTTTGCCTTTGGTTAGGGGAGGCGAGGGGATGGAGTGGGATGTTTATGTATATATGTGTAGATTTCTGTAAGTGACTGTTAAGGTTCTAGTTTTTCTTGTGGATGGATGTGGATGGTTAATGATGATTAAGTATTATCTAAAAAAAACCTCAAGTAAGCGGGAGCCATATGTAGGCCAGCAAGGAGGGGATGTCATAAACAAAGAACTATTCTATACACTTGAAATCCATTAAAAACAGCAGCAACAACAAAAACCTTGGCTTTACCACTTTCTAGGTGGGGAAGTTATCCCCACTAAATGTAATCTCCAGGAGGGCAGAGATGTGTCTGATTTGTTCACCACTGCAAAAGCCATCCGTGCTTGGCACATTTGTTGAATAAATTAGTGTAAGCTCTCTGAGCCTCATCCCATCAAATAAGATAATGTAGGTAACTCTGGCCAGGAAGCTCAGTTGGTTGTAGTGTCGTCCCGTACACCAAAATTTGTGGGTTTGATCCCTGGTCAGGGCGCATATAGGAGGCAACCAGTCAATGTTTCTCTCACATCTATGTTTCTCTCTTTCCCCTTCTCTCTCTAAAAATCAATAAAAACATATCCTTGCATGAGGATTTTAAAAAAAAGATAATGTAGGTAAAGGCCTAGTATAGTGCCTGACACAGAATAAAGCACTTAATAAATAGGAGTCATTCAATGAGGGTTTTATTTCCAGGAAGGGATTATCCCTAACCACCAACCCTATAGCCTTTTATAATACGAGACAGAGGGCAAAGGACAGCTAATCTGGTTTCCTTATAGACACCAAATGAAATGGTTAGATTTCCTTGTCTGATGCTACCAACCTCTCTCCTTTATTCCTCAGCAAACCTCCCCCTGGAGAACTGAACTCCAGCCCATTTCCTTTCACACCAGCCTCTCCACTTAGTGGAATGCCAAACTTGCAAACTAGAGATGAACTCTCAAAAACTCACTTAAGTTTCTGCATGGATTTAGATGTAATTAATATACTCAATGTTTCCTGTTAGCCTAGCCTCTTAAAAATCTAACAAACAAAAACCTGTGTCTCCTTTGAGGAGTAGAACCCAGCCTTCCCCAAGCCCCCTATTTGGTATGGGTGGGGTTCTTACTCATGGGGGTGCTCCAGCAGTCACTGAGAGACCCACCACCAGGCTGCCTGGCTTCCCTGCCCCTCACCCCCCATGCTGCAGGGGAGCCACAGCAAACATGGTGAGTACCAGCTGGAGAGTGGAGAAAAACTCCATGCCCTGAACCTGGTCTATGCCTCCTCTTGCTCACCTAGAGGAGACTAGAGTGGCTAGGGACAAGGGGTGGGAGGACACATACATATTCCCATTGCCCTCAAGCCCCATGATTTATCCACCAAAGAAGCTTTAACCAAAGGGTCTGCAGCAACTCATCCAAACTCCTGAGTTGCTGAGCCAACCTCATTGGTCTATTCGCATCATATTGAAGGTGGCTTAATAAGAGGATACACAGAGCAGGGGTGCTCCCCTTTTTGTTCCTTCCTTAAAGTCTTATCAGCCACCCACCTCATTACCTACCTTCTCAGGGAGGGCGGCTGCTGCTAACCTGGTTGACCACCTGGGGCAGTGCCAAGTAGAAGACAACTAAGGCCAGGATGGCTGCTATGCTCTGGGGCAAAACATAGGACACCCTTGGAGAGGGTCAAGCCAGTGGGCACAGAGCAGCGCCAGAGTTAGAACTGGATTTATCTGGGCCCCAGTGATCTCATCAAAAATCTGTGCCAGGCTCACCACCACCATCAGCTCTCCAGTCAAGGGGTGAGGGACTGTGCTTGGCTATGGAGCTCCCACTGGGCATGAGGCCCTAAGGACATCCCCGACAAAGATCAGGGTGTCAGGCTTGTAGCTAGCACCTTTCTCCAAAGCCACTGGCTCTGCAGGTCCTGGGGGAGAGGAAGAGGAAGGGAAGGGAAGATCAGGCTGCCTGGGCTGGCAGTGTCTGCTCCACTCTCCCCGCTGGTCTCCCACCCCTTTCCTTCTTACCCACTTTCTGTTCTCCCTCTTAATGAATTCTCCCAACAAGGCCTGTCTCTTCATTCTGCCCCCAAAACGCCTGATGTGAGGAAGGGAGACAAACCAAGGGACAGAATAAGGGAGTGGTCAGACAATAAGCCCCCATTTGGTGGGCTGGGATTTAACAGTGGAGAAGAGGAAAGGTCTTCCTTTCTATAGAAGAAGATGGTGGTTTCTCCTCTCCGCAGGGATCTCATCTCCCAGTTCACCATTTTTCCAGCCGGGTCCAGCATCTCTGTTGGGTGTCCTACTCCTGTTTGGAGGCTGCTTTTCTAGGTCTAGGTGAATGTAGTTGAGAAACGAGAAGCAAGTGTTTCAGGTGCCTTCCCAGGAGAGGGAGACAGCCAGAGAGGTGAGAGCTCCACTCCTGTGATCAGGGAGCACCTCCTGTCTTCTCCCTTCAGCCAGCAGAGAGGCACCTTATCCTCAGTCTCTATACTCAGTGCCCTCCCCAAGGGAGCCTTAGACATTTGTACTCAGACCATTCTCACATCTAGGCATCCACTCTCTCTAGCCTTGGCCCTGGGGATGCAAGGGATTCCTGGGGTCAATACTCCTGGGATCATCCAGGACACACCCCAGTTCATCTTGATCTTTTTTTCTGGTTAGCTTGCTCACTTTTTTTTTAGCTATCACTCTACTGCACTCTTGGATTTGGGTTTCTTTTCAGGGTTTGCAAAAATGTTTCACTCTAGATTTTCCACCTTTCTCTCTTCTGGCCTTAAGTAAGCATACAGACATTTTTGAAG